ACAGACAATTCTATTAGGCCTATGGTCACGATTTGAAAAATATGAAATTTTGTAGTATTTTAGATTTATACATTGGCAATACCCGAATAGTATATAAAGGGGAGAGGCAACCAAATTGTCTTGAATTTAATTTGTTAATCGGGTAATTTTTCTTAACCAGGGTTAAGCAAACTTGTCATTCTAACTAATTAATTCCGAGAAAACCTACAGCTTTATCGCGACTCAGATATGATCAACAACACAATTACTTCAAGATTACATTTGAAAAGATAATTCTAGATCAGACCAATCTTTTTAGATATTTAAACTTTTGTGCCATTGACTAGGAAAATTTTTAGGGCCTGCATATAATGAGCTAGCCGTATTTTAAAAAACGACATAAATCCAGCTGTTTAATAACCATCCACGGGGGAAGGAACCATTTTCACGGATTTGCCCATTTTCTTAAATTATTTTTAGTTTCTGTACGATCTTTTAATAGCTGTTTGGTGCAAACATTTAAAATAAATATTCTCAATATGTTCATTAAAGTTATTACGCTCATATTATTGTTAATTCCTTCCAGGACTTTGCATACTTTTATATCTAGTTTTTAAGCTGCCTTGACATCCGCACAACTGCTTTTATATAGTAGAAATATGAATTTTTATTTAATGGTTATGTTGATAGTGTTATTATTTATATCTAAATTAATAAGAGAAAATATAATCTAAAAAAAAAAAAAAATTAAATTTCTCATTTTAACGTGGGCTGATATATTTTATATGATATTAAATGAATCTATATTGGTTTAGTAAGATAATGATTGCAGCAATATTATTCTACTTTATATCTTATTGGGCTTTTGTTTATAATTTTATATAATCTGCTTATATACTGTTTTACAGCTTTTCACTTTGAAATAATATTCAAATGTTTTATTTTATATCCAATTAGTCTTTTTACCTAAAGTTACATATGTATCCTTATAAATTGTGAAAAACATCATTATTTTACTCATAAATAAGTGACTTTAATTCTTGTTTAATTCGATCCTTAAAATTCCCTACAATGAACCAAAGGTGGCATATCGAAAAAAAAGATTTAACGTGGTGGAGAAAAAACAATCATCAAGCGTAAAGTTTCGATATGAAAAAATGTGAAATGTTAAAAATAACGGAATTAATTAAAACTATTATTTTATTTTTATGTATGTCAAAAAACACACTTTTTATTATGAGGCGTGTTTTATATAAGCAACTGAGCCAACTATTTTATATCTAACGATATAAAATCAAATACATAATTGTATAATATTTACCATTATATTCAAGTATATATGGTTGATCTGTAAATAATTATATATTTTTTTAGAATATATATATATATATGTATATTGCTAGAAAAGAAAAATAATAAAAATAAAATAGGAAAGAATGGAAAGGAAAAAATAAAATAAATTAAACAATATTTTTGTTACCTCTATAAGATGTTATCTTAACTTTCCCAAAGACTAAATTAATTTAGAAAATTGATTGATATTCTTTATTGTTACTATGAAACCTGGTATACTGAACTGATTTATTCCTTAATAAAAAAAAAATCATTATAAATTTACTATGATATATTAATTTTTCAATTATATATTGGAATACAGACATGACTTAGTTTTCAAACCTAATTTAATTAGGGAAGAGATGATGTAGGGGAATAAATGACAATTATTTCCAATCTCTCAAAGATACATTGAAAGAGGGTTTATAACTTTTTGAGGAGTATTTGAAAACTTTTGAAGAATATTTGATGACTTTTTGAAGAATATTTGATGACTTTTTGAAGAATTTTTGATGACTTTTTGAGGAATATTTAATGACTTTTTGAAGAATGTTTGATGACTTTTTGAAGAATATTTGATGACTTTTTGAAGAATGTTTGATGACTTTTTGAAGTATATTTGATGACTTTTTGAAGAATGTTTGATGACTTTTTGAGGAATATTTGATGACTTTTTGAAGAATGTTTGATGACTTTTTGAAGAATATTTGATGACTTTTTGAAGAATGTTTGATGACTTTTTGAAGAATATTTGATGACTTTTTGAAGAATGTTTGATGACTTTTTGAAGAATGTTTGACTTTTTGAAGGATTTGTATAAAGAAAATTATTTCTCTAATTGGCTTACACGATATAGAGGTCAATGACATAAAATAATACCTAGACTGACGATGTATTCATAATAATGCGTTTAAAAGCGTTGTTGAATGAAAATCAGCTGGACACGCCATTTTGGTATAACCCAATTATTCTCATGATAAAAATTACTATTAACTTGATAACTCGCTCCCTTATTATCTCGATATTCAGGCAATTCTTTAATTAAGTTTGCGTCAGACATATGAATAAATTGGGTTCTTGTTTAAAATTTTTTAATATTGATATGGGTAACCAAAATGGCGTCCCCAGTTGTATTTCATTGATGCACAAAATGAATTCATCGTCAGTCTAGGTATTATTATATGTCAATGATAGAGGTATACAGGAGAAATTGCGTTAGCTTCCAGGACCTTTCAATTCCAACGAAATGGAATTGGATATGGCAATATCTGATTCCTCATGAGCCAGGAAT